CCCCCCCTCTGGTTTCTTCTACCGACGACCTACACCACTCGACGCCTCTCTCCACATCGCATACACCCCGCGTACCTTTTTCAACGGCATAAATTGAACGACCGCGAATCACCGTGCATTATTCATGAGGGATGGTTATACACGCGCGTAAAGGTTTGCCGGGGGTAAATATGATTAATTTACGTCTGGTCAGAAAGCCATGGTATGTACCAGGTGCGCGCTCGCTCCATTCAACTTCTAACTTTATTATTATTCGCAGAAAAAATAGTCTTGATCGATACCGTTGGAATTTTTCTTCCGAAGTCAAGATGTAAATTTTCTACGTTTTTCAATGTTTCTTTTGGTTTCGGCGAAATGTTTCTCTGATATTTTTAGTACACTTCTTGGGAATTTCTATCAAATGACAATTTATAATTGAAAATTCATTATTTGATTTTTAAAAAATCAATGGTAGACGGAGAGAAAAGTTGGATAAAAATTGACTAGAAATCGGGACACATTTTACTGTACAAAATTCTACAAATTCACATTTTTTGTAAGATGAGTGTACACAGTTAAAAAATTTTGTCTGAAATTTCCCTTACACTTTTTGGAAATTTTAAGCGAATTCAATTACCACTGAAATTTCAAGGAATTTCGTCATTAAAAATTCAGAGTTTCGTGGAAAAATCAAAGAGGACTGTAAATTTCAGTTCCATTTTTCTCTGAAAATGAATAGAAAACCAGAAAATTCTGGTAAATATATTCTTGAATTTTCAGAACAGTCACACAATGCGATTTAGGGAAAATTCAATGTAATTTGGCACTGAAAATTCATATTAGATTGGAAATTCAACTAAATTAAGGAATTCTCGTCTTTATGCTGTTTAAAATTCTAGAATTTAACTGAAACCTGAAATTTCATTTTTTTTTCAACTATCCATGGAATTTCCTTTTTTTCTAACAGTGCAAATATAATTAATTGAAGTAAAATAAATTCATCTGTTTCATCTTTTAAAAAGTATCCCCACAAAGGTAATCGTGGAGCGAAATGGAATTCAGTTGAAGAATACCTGTTTGTGGAGGATATTTTACGATTCGTTCGGTGAAAAAAATCTATGGATGCAAAAATTACCCTCCAGTACACTAAAATTTTCTACACCGTTAGGGTATTTTTTTTCTCGTGCCTATCTGAGAAAATCCTCCCCGGAAAACTTTCTCCCTTCAATTACACTTTTATAAATAACACTCAAGTGATCCGAAATGGAAGAAAAATTGTATATAAATGCATCATAAAATGAAACGAAAATAAAATCCTAGAATTCATAAACTATTGATCAATGCACCCTGTTGACGTACAACCCGAGAATATATTTTTCCACTAGGGGGAGCATTGCGCCCAGCAAATCACCAGCGGGACCGTCAGAGTGGAATAATTAAAATCGGCCGACTGCTCGGAGGCTGCCCCCTTCGTTAACGACCACATCCATAATAAATACAGAAAGGTCAGATGGAAAAAGGGGGGAGATACCGAAGGTGGAAAAGTGAATGAGAAGAGTCAAACGAGAGTAGCAAGTACCCGGGGTGCATAAAGGGAGGGAAAAATAGGGGTGAGTGAAGGTGTATGGATGCAGGACTATCGTACGAAGAGCTGCTCGACCTCGCGGAAGCCCGCAACGTTCAAAGCCCAAGGGAAATGGACGGGAGATTTGAGAAAAGAAAAAATGAAACGATTTCTGATATTCAACAGCGAGAAAAATTTTAATTGAATTGCAACAACTAATCGTCGATTTTTGCACATGTCAAAGTGCATATATATACACATGTATACACGAAGAAAAAAGTTACAAGAACAAAGAAAAGAACAAGTCAAGTAATCGTGGAGTTGACTCGATTTTCAGT